TGCGAATGGCGGAAGTGACAAATAGCATGGGATGTGCTCACGACGGAGTTGAGGTCATGGGGAGGCAGCTGTGTTGGTGTTTAGTGAGGGAGAAGATTTGGGAATGAAGACAAGGAGATAGACTGAATAAAAACGCGATACGGATGGTGAGTAACGAGGCTGCTGGGCGCCAATACCCCCTTATTGTCATAATGTTAACGCAGTGATGTGTTTTTTTTTCGTGGTTATTTGTAAATGCTTGAATTACAAGCCCTTATTGTGTGTGTTTGGGATGGGGCGGTTGTACATGTAACTATTGTTGGCGTATTCTTATATTTTCGTCTTTTGATCTGAGGACAAGAGAATGTGGACAGAGCCGAGGGCCTGAAACGCGTGTTGTCTTTGTGGTTGGCTTGGAGTGGGTGCGTGCCGCCATTTTTTTTGTGTGTGTTGCTAACTCGTATGGACGCTGAATTAATGATGATTGCGTTGCTGGTGGCAGTTGCGTGTATTTTGTGAATTGAGGTGCCAAGCTTTCATTTGTTCGTGGGGTGCAAGCGACTGTCTAGCTGCCATTGTGCAAAATGGTGAGGTTTTTGGTGTAGTTTATTATTATTATTATTATTTTTTTTTTAGTGTTTGATGTTTACTGTTTATTTTTCGCAGAAATGGTCGTTGCAAACGTTGGTGGGTTTGCGCTTTTTTTTTTTTATGGTGAGGGCGGTATCCTAGCAAGAAGCGGCGTGGGGAGTGCGAAAAGGAATTTGGAAGGGAAAAATTGTGGGTTGTGCTCATGGGTGCAGCAGCCGGTGCAAGTCGCAGCCATAAAATTCTTCTTTGGTTTGCGTGGAAACCGCATTTGTTGTACGGCACTGTGGCACGGCAATTTGCCGAAGGGGGGTGGCAGTTAGTTCGACCATATGTATGTATATATATTTCCTCTTCAAGAAATGGGCGTTTTTCCCTCCATGAGTTTTCCCTCTTTTTGGTGGTTAGTCTGTGTAAGAGCAGTGACGCTCTTCAATTAAAATTGTGTTCCCGACGCATAAACAAAAACAACAACAACTACGTTTTAAGGGGACTGGGGGGGGGGCAAAAGAAAGCCCCGCGAAGTAAGCTTGCTTGCTTACCGCTTCAGTGGTGAAAAGGTGAAGCAGAAATAGTAAGATATATCGTCGCATGTATTCAAGCCACGCGGCATCCCACGCAAAGCGCACCAAATTTTCAGGTATAATATATATATTTTTTCTTCCAACATCCACCCCTCATGACTCCGCGGAAAACGACGTTACTGTGTCATTTACAATCCGGCGGTAGACAAGCCCCTCTTTCTTTCGGATGTATCCATTGTTGTACATGGGTTGAACACGCCGTACTATTGCTACCTATGTTGTGGAGTAACGCAACACGCTCAAGGTGAGTCGTAGTAGTATATGTATCGTGGTTACACCCTAGTTGAGTTTGCCATATATATTTTTTTGCTGAATTCAATGCTTTCATGAAGTATCCTTACGTCTCTGCGTATTCATTTTTTGTTTTGTTTTTCACTTTTTTTTTGGCTACTCCTGCTGGTTGAAGCGTATTTGCCGTAGTACCGCCAATGGAGTCAAGCATTTGTGCTGAGGAGGCAACCAAGTGGAGACAGTGTATAGAGCAACACCTGGGGGATCTCAATCTGGAACGGAGGTGTAGCGATGAGCTTGCATTGTTTGACCACTGCATCGCCTCATGGCGCCTCAACGGTGCGAAGGACGTGAAAATAAAGGGCGAAAATGAGGGCGAACCGGCCCCACAATGTGCTGCTCTATCTTGTCTTATTGGAACTTGCCTTCGAAAAACCAACTACGACTTTTCTAGATGCAGCGTTCCTATGCAGTATTTTAAGCACTGCGTAAAGAGTTTTTACGGCTCGGAGTACATTGTGTAGCGTTTGGTAGTTCGTATGTTTACCATCCAATTCTGGTTTCAGTCGCGCGTGCGCTGCCATCCTCACGTTGGTGGGATGTGTTTCCTGCTGGGGAAGCAAGAGAGTAAATTTCTGAGGGATGCGTCTGTTGTTGTTGTTTTTTAGTTGCTCTTGTTGACGCTGTTCCCCTCCATAAAAATTTGGTTCCTGGCTGAAAATTTCCCTTTTCCATTTCCCTTTCCCCTCTTGTTTTGTTCCATGTTCTCGTTGGGGATGCGCTTGTGAGGGGGCTGCAATGAGTTCCTTTAGCGCCTTGTCCACGGGGGCAAGATTTGATGCCAACAAACACGGCGCCGCCATGAGGCGCTTCGCACCGGGAGGTGCCGATCGGGACCATCCCGTTGCGCTTGGCAATCCAACGCCGCAGTGCGATCCCGCGGAGATACCCACGCCTTGTCGCACCCTGAACATTTTTGGGGACTCCAAAGGCACGGCAAGGGCTGAGGGCACGGCAGTGTTGGGTGGGGAATTCCAGCAAGACACCCGAAACAACGCCGCCACGATGCACACGCCTCTTCAGAGCATGAGTGTGAAGAAGAAAAGAAACCTCTGGCGGAAAAATGAGCTGCAGGTTGAGGGTGTTGATGTGCCTCAGCCAATTGAACATTTTTCGGATCTTGTTCGTCCTCCGCTTTCTGTGGATGAGTGTCTCGTTTCAAATCTATTTGGGCGAAATCACCGCATTCCGACTCCGATTCAGATGCAGGCAATTCCGTGTTTAATTAATAAGCGAGATGTTCTGGCTTGTGCTCCAACAGGGTCGGGAAAAACGTTGGCTTTTCTTATCCCCATGTTTCATATGCTAAAGGCTCCTAACCCAGAAGCTGGGGTACGAGGGCTTATTATAACGCCCACAATGGAGCTCGCCGAACAAATTGAAAGAGAAACCTTTTTTCTCATGAAGGGCCAACGATGGAAGCTTGTTCAACATGGACAGTCCACTCGAAACAAGGACATCTTCGTCACCACGCCCAGGCGTGTTTTGTCAATGATAGAAAAGAAACTCATTGATCTTTCTCATACACAATATCTTGTGTTTGACGAGGGGGACCGTCTTTGGGATTCGACAACGGACAATCTTCAAGTGGTGGACTCCATTCTGGGAGCGTGCACGTGTGAAGAGAAGGTGGTGGCGCTGTTTACTGCAACACTGAGCTCAAAGGTAGAGGGAATAGCGCGCTCGGTAATGAGTCCGGATCCGATTCGTATAATTGTCACTGGTCGTGCGTCAGCAAACAAGAAAGTTTCTCAAGAACTTGTTTTTTGCGGTAATGAGTTGGGCAAAATTGTGGCGATCCGCAATATGCTCCGCGAGGGGATCAGCCCTCCCGTGCTTATTTTTGTGCAGAGTATCGAACGGACCAAGGAGCTCTATGACGAAATAAGATGTCAGGGGCTTCATATAGCGGTGATGAATTCTAAGATGACCCATGAAGAACGGGATGAGACAATAATGAATTTTCGGCTAGGAAAGATATGGGTGATCGTCACCACGGAGCTTTTGTCCCGCGGGATCGATTTTAAGAATGTCGGAACCGTGATCAACTTTGATCTTCCGACTACTGTTGAGTCTTACATTCACCGAATTGGGAGATGTGGGCGGGCGGGAAAAACAGGTAAGGCGGTAACGTTTTTCACTGAGGATGATAAGGAGCGAATCCCACCGATCGCTCGTGTCATGAAGGAGTCGGGGAGCGCCGTTGAGGATTGGATGCTTGAAATAAAGTCAGATCGTCGCACCCGCCGTCGGATTGAGCGTTCAACGCCGCAGAGAATGATAGTCAGTACTAGGAAGCGAATGCTTGTTGCCGACCAACGCATGAAGAGGCAGCTTCGCCGGTTGGAGAAGGAGGCCGTCAACGCGGCAGACGCCGAATCAGATGGCGAGGATGCGTAGGGCACGGATACCAAAGGTGCGCGCTTGTAAGTAATTGTTTAAGTACAATTCGGATAAATACATTGAGAAACTTCTTCCTGCGCGGATTTTTGTTTGTTTTTGTTTTTGTTTGTTTTTTCTCTGTGTCTATTCTATTCTCTGCACAGGAGTCCTGAGTGTCGGGCTAATAAAGTAAAAAAAAAGCCACACAAACTCTGACCAGCTTTATTCTCTGGTTCACTCTTTTTCCTTTTTCTCTTTCTTTTTCTAGTTGGCTCTCAACGTACTGAAAACAAAAAATAAGAGAATAACAATCTTTCCAAGAGAAAATACGTTGCTAGGACAATAGGGTTTGGCTCTGATGCTGCGCGTTTCTCAGGGACCTTGAACGACCGGCGCAAGAAAAGATCCCGCCGACGCCAAAGCGGAATAACACCCCACGCTTCTTTGAATGGTTGTAAGGTGCCTAGAATACATACTGGATCTGGAGCTCTGGTGATGCGTTGCTTCTGACGAGCTCCATTGAATGTCCCCACATCTTCTATTATTCTTTTTTTTTATTCGGATATATGTGTGTACATTTATGGGTTGCTTCTTCTTCTTCGCGCAAGTGTGTTGTTAGTCGGGAAACGGACCACCGATGTGTGCGGTCTGCGTTTGCCCCTCCTCCTCGTTGATTTTTGTGTGATGGCATTGGGTCTTTTTCTTTTCTGCCTTTGGGGTTGCTGCTGTGCGACCATTTGAAGGTGCGACGAGAGGGCGATTACGCCTATTGATCGGTTAACCCGGTTTCCACTGGCTGGCGTATAGCGACTCTACGATGTGTCAATTTTTGTTAATATGAACTGCAGGAGGGTGGAGGGGAAAGCAGAAACATAAAAACAAAGTGACTCAAGTGGTAATTTTGGGCGATGGACGACGTGGCGTTGCCGTATACGATGGGCTTGCCTTGGAATTTTTGCTGCTGCCACGAGCGAAGACGAACTCTTGCTTTATTGACGCCCTAAACGTAAGAAAATTATTTAATTTTGATTCCTCTTTTTTATGTAATGGGGCCATTATTATCATAGTTGTTGTGGTTTTTGCCTCCTTTTTTTTCCTTTTGCTTGCCCCTCCTCTCCCAACCACACCATGAAGGGCCGAAAAGATCGAAAATGAATGAGGGGGAGGAGGCAACTTTACTAGCGGTTGCATTGGCTGGTGAAGAAACCTACTGGCTCTGTCAACCGGTTCACGGGAAACGACTTCCGCCTGAGTGGAAGCACTGCATCTGCCACTGGCTTTATATTGTAGATGATGCCGACATACGTGCCCATTTCCCTTGGTATACGGACAACCTGGGCGTCGTGCTAGAACTTGGTGTAACCGAAACGTCAAAGGTTGAGCGTTTTGCGGTGATATCTGATTCAGTGAGAGCCAGGAAAATTGTTAGTTGTCAAGGAGGGGATGCAAAGACTTATTTTATTCTCGGAAATGAAGAACGGGATGTACTAGATGTCAAATTTGAGGATCTCCTGAAGCGTGAGTCGACCGTTTCCACGAGCAAAGCTCCTGTAGATAGAGTTGACGAGAAACCACTAGAAGAAATGCGACCTGTTGTTTCTAGCTCTGTTTCAGAGGGAAGAAATGGCGTTCGAGGAGGGAATAGCGTGGTTTTTACATGGGATAGCTTTTACATTGTAGAATATGGAAATCGCGTCTTCTACGTGTGTTCGGCTCCGCATGGTAATAAGCATGGATTTAAAGTAGAAAGACTCATTCGCAAGGGAATAACTATATTTTTATTGTTTCAAGATGACTGTGCCGGCCCGTGTAGAGTGAGTGACCAGCAAGAAGGGGAAAGGGCCACGGTGAGTTCTGTCCTGGAAGGAGAAAGAGGTAAGGTGATGGTTTTGATGACGGAGGGGCGTGAGGTTGTTCCGGGGAGGAGTAGAGGGGAATCATTGGAGTGCTCTGAGTTTGAGCCCCCAACAAGGGCTGCGAGGATGGAGAATCCAAGAGTGAATTGCCTTCACTGGCGGCCTCTGAGGGCAGCTGGTGTTAATTTGTGGGTGGATTTTAAGGGCACAGCAGAAGCGGTGATGAATCTGGCAGAATCGTTCCCTTTTTCAGCTGAGTTCGGAGGCTCGGTACGCACAACGGTTTTTTCCGATGGAACTTGTGTGACGTACAATCTAGCCACAGCTTCAAAGTTTGCCGGGAAAAAGAAAGCTGCCGCCACATCGACAGATTGCGACATGGTGGGGCTTCTGGAGAATATCCAGTTGGCGAAGGAACAGTTTCACTCCATCTGAGGCGCGAAAGACCGCTGCTTGTTGTTGTGCCATTTGGTTTCGGCTTGGCGCGACTTGCACGCAGCGATTCCGCCATCTGTGGCTCTGTTGCTGTTGGCTGTGGTTGTTGCAAAGGTTATTAGCGACTTGAATTTCTTTCATTTTTTTTTTTTGTCCGTCGGAGGGAGAGTGTGCCGCTCTCGCTTCTTTATTTGCCTGTTTTTTTTTTTTTCTATATCTCTCCTTTTTTTTTCCGCCAGCGCGCGGGGGAGAGAGAGGAGGGGGGTATGCTGCGCTTCCGCCAGGTGCTCACACTATCTGTTTACGGAGGCATTCGCAGTGTATTCCAGAGCAAGGCCTTTGTTAGCGCCAGCAAGGAGCTCCCCTCGACACCCGAGGGAAAAAATCCGTACGACGTTCTCGAAATCACCGTTACAAACGCCACAAGTTTAGATGACGTATCAAAGCAGTTTAGAGAGCTTGTGGTTCTCAACCACCCTGACCAGCCCGGCGGGTCGCATGAGAGGATGTCAGAAGTCAATGCAGCCTACAAAATAATCAAAGAAAATCACAACAAACTGATTCAGCGGCTGAAGGACTATGAAGCAAATACAAAAGGAAGCGAAGCCTTTCAAAGACACAAGCAAGCCCGGGCCCGTAGTGATGATGATCTTGGACGCCATGGTGGTGTTTATCGTCGAAATGCAAAGGCTGCCGAACAATCTAGTGGGGCTCGAAGGGCCCGTTCCCTTCAAGAAATTGAGTCAGATTGGAGGCGCTTTAAAGACGAGACGGAGCAGTCTGTCTCAAGCATGTGTAACCGCTACGAACTGGCTGTGGAAAAGGGGCGTTTTTTCCGGAAAACGTCCATGCTTAACGAAATTACCGTACGAGAACGTTGGCTGCGAAAAAGTTTTGTGAAAAACGTGTGGGAGGAGGTTCACGAACTACGGGGAGAACTTCTTCGCCGAGGCGCACGTAGCGCTCAGCAGTCACAGCTGGCAGAGGAAATGGTTGCCTTCGCATCTTCCGTCCAGCGGAAGTTGAATGATGATTTTCAACGGCTCACACAACTTAGTGTGCAGTCACAATCCCATCTGTTTATTCAGCGGGTGCTATTCGCACTGTTGTTGGTGGTTGTTTTCATCAAGGTGTGGGGGTGGGTCGTCACAGGAATGTTTAAAAATTCACTCACGGTAAGATTTCGGCAGGGAGTTTTAAGTCGCTAGAAGTGGCATTGGCTGTGTACGTGTGTGCCTGGCGGGGTAGAGAAAAGGGGGAGGAGGTGCTTTTTTTGATTGGGGAGGATTGGCTTCGGCCACTTTCTCCTCCTCTCTCATCCGTGGTCTCTCTCTCTTTTATTTTTATTTTTATGTTTTTTTTTTTTGGCCTCTTTCCTTCCTTCCATCGTTCCTGGGGCACTCGCTTTCCTGAGTGGTAAGATGGAGTTCACTGCTTGCTTGGTTTTGTTTCCAACTTCTCTTGCATTCTGGAAATGCCCGTTTTTGCGTCCCCGCACTTGTCACCCCCTTCCCCCTCAAAAAAAAAACACACACACACAAACACACTTTGCGCAAGCCCGACACCTGCCTGACTTGCCGGGGTTCATGCGTCTTCCTATGCAGGGAAATGCCCAGCGAATGAGGACGGAAGGCACCATCGCGGATGCAGGGCATAGCGCCGCGTTTGATCCATTTGATGGGGTAGGAAAGGACGAGGCAACAGAGGTAAAAATTAAATGGTGGTCGGATCATGTTGAGCAGGTGTTGGATTCTCACCGAAGTCCCTTTGTGGCAGCTGAACTTTTGTTGCAGCAGATGAATGAGTATGGCGCCGAGGGAAATATTACGGAACACCTCCTTCTGGCCACTGTGTTGCCTGTTCTACATCGTTGTGCAAAAGTATTGGGCACGCATGGTGAACTTCTAGAGAAAGCGTTGCACGAACTTCTTCCTGCGATAATGTTCACAAGAACGTATGCTCTTTCTCATAGGGAGGTGCTTCAACGACGCTCATATGCGGAGTGTTTTGCGTGTATCCTGCAAAAATTTAACTACCATGTCCAGCTGTCTTCCACGATACAGCGCAAGGCTGCATTGGAAGAGGAGGTCATGACGCGCGCCGTTCGTAAGCTGGACAGGTTATGGCTGAAGATGTGTTTTAGAGCCTGGGGTGGCCTCTGCGCCCACATGCAGGCCAGGAAGCGGGGATTTCAGCGTCTGGCCGCCAGGGGCGCGGCGTTGAGGGTGGTGCCCGGGTTTCTCAGGAGTTGGCGCCGCTACGCGCACGAGGTAACACTCCGCGAGAAAATCTTAAAGCATGACGCCTTAACGAAGGAAGTTGAGGAACTATTTATTGTGGAGCAAGTGGCTAAGAGCCGTCACGAGCGCATTCTGGAAGAGGTTCGGGAGAAAAATCGGTCCTTGGAAACTACAACGGAGCGGTGTGGGGAGACGGAAAATCGACTAAAGGCCCTTGAGGGCATTTTGGAGGAAACCGTGAACTCACTTCGCGCCCACTGGAAAAGCTGGAACGAGACGACGGTTAATCTTTTCTCCGACACCAACGATTTTCATCCCTCCGTATTTGGGAACCTTCGCTCGGATCTCCAGTCTACCGTCCAAAACATAACGGATACGGCCGCGTTTTACTTGAGAGAAGCTCGAAAGCGTACGTGTAAAGTAGGCAAAAATACGATTACTCAATTCATTTCAAAGGCGAAGTTGGGTGGAGAGATAGTTGAGCGGCGAGGGCCGGACAGCCTTATTGCTGTGGTAACAGGTGTCTGCAACCCTGTTACGCCACCTTTGAGACTAGTTGACGTGGTTCGCGAAGATCAACAGAAGTACGACTTAACCCTCAAGTTTCTTGCTTGCATAAATGGCGGTGGCCACTGCTCCTTGTTTACTCAGCATCGATTTAACTCCGAGGATGACTTTCCAGTGGATGACCGCACTGAGCATGGGAAAGAGATGGTGGCCCACGTTGCGACCGGCGTGGATTCTCTTCATGGTTGCCCCGAGTCAAATGAGAAATATCTTCAAGCAATGCAAAATTGTTTGACGGCGGAGGAACTTAATCAAGTTCATGACTACTTGGATAGGGTGTTTTGCGAACTTGCCGCAGCCGGTCTTCCCCTAAGGAGGGACAAAATTGAGGGGTGTATTGAGAGCATTGTGGAACCGCACGACCGTCAGGTGGTACGTGCCTTGTATCCTTCACAGGGGATCAAGTCCATAGCTGACATGGTCAACTACCTCCTAAAGCTATCTCAGTTTACGTCGTGGACAATCAGCAGCCTGGTGGAGCACTTGGAGAGCAACTATGATGCCGATCCGAGGGAAGACCTCTTTACAGCGATGTATGACGAGAGTGTTGTAGAGTACTTCCACGAGCACGCCACAGCTCTCGATGGGGTCTTTGCAAGGTTCAAGGAAAAAAAACTCAGATGTTTCTTTCAGAGAAACTAATGAAGGGATTCTTGATTGCCAAGTTTGACCTGCTTAGTAGTGAAGCGGACACCTTATTCCGCTTGAGTGCGCTCCCTGGGAAGATGACCAGGGAGGAGTTTAACAAGTTCCTTCTCGCACTCGCTGCCTTTGCCAACCCCTCACCTTTTGTGCCGGCGGTTGAAAAACTTGCGGCTGCCGTTGAACAATGTACAGAGGCGAAGTAAGTTGTTTCTCAGCCTAACAGCCACAAGGTGGCAAGGGGTTCAGGGTGAAAAAAAAGTATGTAAAGAATTGAGGGGCCGAGGCCGAGGCAGAGGAAACCGAATGCCAAATGAAGCTAATTTTTGTATTTTACTTTTCATTTTTATCTTGCTGACGGTAA